CCCCAAAACCCCAAAACCCCAAAACCCCAATTATGTTGATACTTATTGAGTTGTGGAATCATTCTTTTTAATAATATCCAAGTTCATTAATGGAGTCACTAATCGGTATGAAGGAGACGAAAGGGGTTTAGGCAGCTCTTTAAGGGGGATTATTTCAGCTGTTCGTATGCTAACCTTGGTATAGAATTTAACTCAGAGGGAGGCTCTAAAACTTTACTCTTCGAATTTGGTCATTGTTTAAATATCTTGAAATATTATGGAACTTTTGTTGAATCACAGCAAGTGATGGTCTCTTTATGATCATGCACAAGACAACTCTGGAGTAATGAGAGAAAGGCTTTTGCTGTTGGACTCAATAAGAAATCAGGATGAAGAACTCTCATGAGCTTGAAAACTTTTAATTCAACATTTGTTGACTATTTTGAGAGTATCAGTGATTTTAAAGAGTTTCATCTATATGATTATGTTTTATTGTTAAAAACAGAAGAGTCTATCCGAGAGTTCTGAGAATTCATCCGAAATTTTAAGTTAAGAACTTATCTGCAGCTCAAGAAAGTTGTTGTTCACTATAAAGAAGGAATGGAATTCGACCTGCTGAATTCCCCATATGATGTGTTAAAAGAGTGTTCAATGGACACTTCTTGCATCCAAATCAATGGACTCTGGGAAATAATGCCCAAGAGTCCAGAGGATATTGTGAAGTATACCAGAAGATTTTGGATGAATATCATCACTCATAACCCTCTTGTGAATCAGGAAGAATATATACAGTATGATTGAGTCAAAGAAGTGTTCCAACTTAATTTTGAATCTGAGCATTTTTCATTTATCATTGATCCAGGTAAGTCCATGTTTGAACACTTTCTGAACATGCTTGAGTAGATACTTGTGATAAAGTTGTTCCTTTATCAATAAGACAGACATGCAGGGAGATCAGTATAGAGAGTTATCCAGCTGAAGAAATTGATAATGAACACACAATCAGAGATCTTGCCTCAAAGCTAACTAAGATGTTTCCACACTTTAGATCGTTGAGAGTTGGATTTATGATGAATGTTGAGAAGATCACATTATCAAAATATTTTAAGAATATATCACAGAATGGAGTTACTCTATCATCCCCGTTTAGTCTAGACGACCCTAATTACATCGTTACTGATTGAAATATCTTTTATTATGATGAAAAGACCGAAGAGTATCAATCATTTAGTGCTTCCAAACTTATTTATAAGAGTCTCAAAGAAGATGAGACATACCCTAAACTTCCGAAAGGATTCATCATGGTGAGGGTAGATTCAATATGTGAGGTTCACAATATTTCCTCTAAAAATACTCATGATTTATCAAAGTTTAAGACATTCATTTCTTCTTTCTTCGCAAACAAGAAATCGAGACAGTCAAGTAGCCCTAAAAATTATCCTAAAGGATATTTCTTCTTCCAGAAAAAAGATTTTCACTTTATTGGAAGTCTGCGAACTCTGTTGTACTGTTGCCCGCCAGCTTGAGAGAACTTGTTTTTAGCACATCCAAGTGTCAAGGACTCAGAGAAGGTTCTTTCTGCTTTAGAAAAAACCAAGATAACTAATTTTAAGCTAACTGTGAGGTATCACAAAAATATTCATTTGTTCTTAACCAAGCTGCTCAAGTACAAAGTCACAGACTTGGTGCTGTGCATTTCTGAAGATGACTTGAGTAAGGTGCCTCTGAAATTTAAGACCCAAGTGAAGGAACAGATACTAAGTTCAAAGTCCATTCAGACTTTAACTGTTCAAACCAAGTCTAAATCTGAAAAAGTCAAGAGAGCAGCTAGAAGGTTTGAACATATTTTAGACAAGGTTTTTGCAAAAGAAATGAAGCTCAAGCTGAGAGAAACTTTGATCTTTGATGAGGTTTTCGTCTATTAATGGGACAATAACTTTAAATGTCATTTATTTTTCACCTCTCTTTGCCCAGCAATGTCTTTCAGATTTCCTTGTTTTGGTTTCCTACAAATAAGCGTTTGGATTTTATTTTATTAATTTTCTGGGATAAGCAATTTGACATAAGCTCTAGAATCTTTATTAGTTTAAATTCTGATTAAGATTATTGCTGTACTTTTAGTAATTATTAAAACTCTTGTCATACTCCCCTTACTATGACTATGCTTAGCCTATGATAAAATTATGTTATAAGCTTAAAGAATTAGTCTAAAATAATAAACTTTTAGAGCCTTTATTCTAACAAGTATCAAAATCCCAAATCCTAATCTAGTGCTTTTTGACCCTAAAAGCAGGAAGACAATAAAGTTCGGCTAATATTTATTTCCTAAAAATCTATTATTTTTGAAACACTGGGGTTTTGGGGTTTTGGGGTTTTGGGG